AAAAAGAGGGAGGAGAAGACGCAAGGAAGCCCAAACTGCAAGTATCTCTGAGGGATGTACAGAGTACAAGGTAAATTCAGACCGTGCAGAATGGCTGGTGGGGTTGAGGCTCCTTGGAGGGGTTCGTCGGAATGTACTAGGTACGTAGTTAAGCAACCGCCCAAAAAAGAAAAGCAAATAAAAGGGCAGGAAGTCTAACAGTGACGCAAATTTGGGTGTAAGGATAATACAATTCAGGCTCACTGGCGGTGAAGAACTTGGTATTGTTCAACCAAGAGATAGAGAAGCTCGCTATGCTTAGTCATCCAGCTCTAACTTATGTACGGAGTTACCCAAGCATAATGATAAGAAGAGTTATGTAGTTACTCCGTACCAGGGATATGCATAGCCAATGAGTTTGCTACAAAAAGATAACATTCAAAGTGGGGTGTATTATTTCTTCAAATAATCACCATGATCAAAAGTATTTGGACTACCAAGAGATCCATCCTACTACTCCCCTAAATGCTTGAATAGGTTTAAACACATGTTATGCAACCAGCAACGCAGGACCGTTTTTGAATGGAATGGGATATGTTTATGTTATCCATAGCCTATCCCTTGTAGTAGTATGGAGTGGTGTGTTACCTTTAAGCACAGTAGCTCACGTACAAAATGTTTAAACAAAGGATTATTGATATCCATTCAAATCATCCAGTGTACTCCATACGAAATATTTCATAGAGCAAATTCATTAACACCAAATAGTAGTAGTATTAGTAGCAGCACAGAAAATAATCTATACTTCATGCTATGGAGTACTACGGAGGTACAGAGTACTATGTACATATACAGAGTAAACGCGCCTGTCGATCAACTGCGGCGTTAATAGCGAATAATTTAGCGAGCGTCCAAATGTGTCTCACATAGCCTTAATGAGCGACTCTACAGTGCAAAGTGAACCACACATGTCTTTTTATTAGTACATAATATGGATAACTGGAGATCATTTACAAAGACGACCTTGTATAATAAATAGAACTTCGGAATATAGTGTGTAGTATAAACAGGTATTGCTGAGCAGCAAGCAATTTTTCCCGCGGTCGAGCGCCATGCCGCGCTTCCCTCGCGGAAAGAGAGAAAGGAAAAAAAAAAATAAAAAATAAAATAATAATAATAATAATAATAATAATAATAATAAATAAACAGATGGTCACATTAGGGGAAGGCGGGAAGCGGGAACAAGCGTGCCGACAGCCGACCATCCCCTCCTTTGACTGAGAGTGGCGTGTCGCCTGAGCGCGCTATTGCCCAACCTTCAAGCCAACTGGAGACTCGCTGACCCGCGCGGGGCCAAACCAAGCCGGGTCCTGTGGAAAGATGAAGCCAATCAGCGTCAACAGCGTCGTCGCGCGGCCATTGCCGATCGCGCGCCAACGTCACTTTCGCCCAGTCAAATGCTTCCTCAGCGGCTCAGCCAGCTGGCAGCCGCAGCCTAGCGCGAGTCTTTTTTCTGGTTTGTTTTCGGGGGGCATGTAACTTGTGTACTCGTACGCTACTGACTATTGGTGGTTTCTCTCTCTCCCCCCTCTAGGAGTTAGGTTTCCTACTATGTATTATGATATTCTAGGCGCCCTTTCTCTCTCACTTTTTTTTTTGTTTGTTTTTTGCTCTTTTTTACTCTTTCCACTGCGGTATAACTCAGGCGCTGGCTTATTTATTTCTACTCAGTGTATTGACTAGTACGCCTTTCTCCCTTTCGCCCCTCTATTTTCGAGGGCCTTATTTGCTTCCCTTCTTTCCTGAGTCCTTCTCTTTTTCCCTTCTTCGTTTTTATCTCATTTTTCTATCGTTTGCCTTCACTTCTTTCTCTTCTTCTCCTGTCCACTGGATTGCTCACTATCAATTTTCCTTCAATACTTGCCTGCATTACTGTTCCTAATGATAGTTATCCTGCATCCGAATTTCACCACCCTGATCTAGCGTTACTACCACCGCCACTATCCAAGTAGCATCGAATCTATACAGAGCACGGAATAAATTGCCAAAAGAAAAGGAAAAGGAAGCAAGACCTTTTTTCCACTCTACGCTTCTAAGCGCATTTCCATACTATCTCATACTTTGTACTGCGACTTTTTACCGTCTCACCCTAATCATCCGTCTTTTTTTTGCGCTTTTGGCGTTTTGTGGTTGTCGCTCTCTCCATCATAGTCTTTGCGCGCCTCGACAATCGAACCTTTTTCTTTTGCATGAGCTCAGGATAACTGGATACTTCGTTTGCGGAGCTTTTGATAGTCTTATTGGCTTCTGATTTGGTTTCTTCAGATCGCGTGGGCTATTATCTTCTACCCACTTAAGCGACGTGGGAAGCTATCTGCGTGGATTATTCCTGACGTTGTCCATCATCCAACAACATTGTGGTGCTACTTTTACGCAGCATCTTTATACATTTGTCGCTGGGTGTACAATTCACCTGCATGGTGCATTGAGTCCGAGCCCAAGGATCTTGGGGGCTCATTGAAGACACCTTGGGGTCGCGCAATCTTACGTGAACGAAATCGCCCTCGATTCACAAGAGGAGGAATCGCATAAAATATTGACCAAGAAATTTTTCTCATTATCTTCTGACCTGAGCGCTAAATCCTAATAACCTTTTCGCCCAATATGAGTGCAATTGCATCTGCGGCAATTGTGAATGGGGGTCAGGATTCGGAGAAGGAACTGAATTCCGACCAAAGCCCTTCTCGATTCACGGCGGTTAATGGGAGGGAACCACCGGTGCCTGGAACAAACACACCTACTCCTAATCCCCCGCCGAGCAACGAAGGACATCGGGAGTTGTCAGAGACTTGGGGGAAGGGCGGATATGATATCCAGTACCGCCAGGATGAACGCCCGCGAGAAAATGGAGGTATTGGAAATGACCAAGAAGATCGGCCTCCACAAGGATCCCCATCTCAATATGGTCAGTCAAGCATCAGCCGAAACAAGCGAAAACGATCAGAGTCAGGCGAGCAGCAGGATCCTCAAAGCTCCTACCAGGGTACTAGCATCCCCCGTAGCCCTGGTTTCCGGCTAGAGGACAGTGCTGATTCGCATGTGCTGCCTCCCGGCACGAGTGGGCCAGCGACATGTCATCCAGTATCTGAGCTAAAAAATACTCCGCCAGTAATGCACCCTCGGCACGAGGCGGGTGAGGGTTCTCGGACGCCATCAGCAAATGCACCGTGGAATGATTACGACTCTCAGCTGATTAACCAAGCGCAGCGTGCCCAACAAATCGACGCCTCCGATGCGCAATTGGCAGAGGCACTCCAACGCGAAGCTCAGGGTCATGATGCAGTTCAGAAAGGGTGGGGGTCAGTTAACCGCCCTTTAGAAAGTGGCGAGCAGCCTTCACCGTTGTCCACTTATTCCCAAGAGCGGTCGCAAACTGCTGTTCAAGTAGCCCCGAAGAGAAAGCGTGTTTTTAGCAATCGCACCAAAACCGGCTGCATGACCTGCCGCAGGAGGAAGAAGAAGTGCGACGAGCAACATCCTGCCTGTGAGTTTGTCATGACAATCTGATATACGCTTCTAAGTTCTTTTCCTAACCACTCTTTGACAGGCAACAATTGCATTCGAGGTGGGTTTCTATGTGAAGGCTATTCGTCACGGAGTACATGGCAAAAGCCGTCCAATGTAAAGGCGCCGGTCCCTCTACAATCAAAAGAAGGCTACGCAGACGTGGGAAATCATTATATGCACGATATGGGCCAGCAGCATGATCGACAGCAGGGTCTAACGGACCAGCTCGAGGCGGGGAAAATGAGGCCTATTGTTGCCGATGAAAATGACCGCACACCTACTGCACAATACACAACCAGTCCGACTGGAGTTGGATCCAGTCGTGGTCCATCATGGTCAAAACGGGTCTGGCCAGGTGCAGGCCATTCGACTTATGTCTCGGACCACTTGGCCAAGACCGACTATCGGGAGGTCCCGCCAATCCATGAACTTTCTCGCGACGAACATACAAAATCGGATTATCAAGTAGTGCCATCGATCCGAGAGCTTTCTTCACACGGTGCTCATCCAAAACCAAGTGTGCCACTGTTCCAGGGCACAATCGATCAGCGACCTGCGCACACCAACAATATGGACACCAGCAGCCCGCAAGCACAAGCCAGAATGGCGCTCAGCATAGAGCACCAACTATCAAGTCGCACTGTCACAGGGGAGGAAACAGAAAAAGAGAAAATGATTCGTGGCGAACTTTATCGTCCGTTCGACATACATTTGGTGGAAGAAAGAGAACGATGCAAGGCTGCTTTGTGGCGATTCAACAATTCCTGTAACCCTGTGTCTGGTTTGAGTACAAAAGAGCAGAATCGCCTGCTCAAGGAGGTTTTGGTGCCTCCAAACTCAATTGTCAATTCACCTTCCGGTGCCACCGCCTCTCGACAGGCAGGATCAATTGGGCAAGGAGCTGTTGTTGAGGCTCCCTTTCATTGCCACTATGGGTATAACATCCATATCAGTGAAGACGTAATGATTTCGGAGAACTGTCTCTTCGTGGATGACTCTTGCATCAGAATTGGGGCTCACACGTGGATAGGCCCCAGGGTTACTATACTCAGCTCCATGGCGCATGCAAATATGCAGGAACGAAAGGGCTCCCAGAGCCGCTATCAAGGACGGCCCGTCACAATCGAGGAGGATTGTTATGTCGGTGCTGGCTGTACAATCTATCCCGGGGTGCGCCTTCGACGAGGCGCCTACGTGGCTCCTGGAGAAGTTGTTAAGACTGACATCGTTGCCTATGGATTTCAAGGTCTAAAACCAAGTTATATGTAGCATTTGCACGCAAAACGAACATAATTAGAGATATCCGATTGTGTTGTCTACGTGTCTGGCCATTGATGGAGAAATATCAAAACCCTTGAATAGGATCTCCAGTTTACGGAGTACGCTATATCTAAACTTTCTTTTTTGTATGGGAATAATATGGGTGCAGTTTACCGACTTAGCAGTCTGTACGACCCATAGCCTGAGTAGAAGTTTCGTATGACAAGCAGAAATCCAGCATCAATTTTCATTCCACCAATATTCCATATGCCCATGCTGAGAGTGATTCCTATATACAGAAGGTACAAAGCACTCAAGAAAGCCAATCCAGGAACTCTGGTACGAAATAACTGACTACAATACCAGCGCCAGCCCTTAGGATGCCCTCGGTGCTCTCAAAAGCCATTGACTTCAAGTCAAAAACTCCAGCTGCGGCGCCCGCATGAATCATAGCATATTCACCGCTAACCTGGTAAGCAGCAACAGGAATATCCTCGGCAAGTTCTTTCGCATCCCTAATGATGTCTAAGTAACTGCTTGCAGGTTTGACCATTATGATATCAGCGCCTTCGCCAACATCGCGCTGTATCGCACGCCGCGCAAGCCCTCTACCTCCTGGTGGGAGTTGATAGCATCTACGGTCTCCAAAGGATGGACAAGAACCTGCCGCATCACGGAAAGGACCGTATAAGCAACCGCTGAATTTCGCGCTATACGACATGAGGAGGACACGGTGTGCCATGCCGGCCTCAATCAGCTTCAGTTTAATGGCGCGCACTCTTCCATCGTTCATATCAGATGGGGCCACACAATGCGCACCGGCTGTTGCATATGCTAATGCCACATCCGAAATCCGATCTACCGACTGTGTATTGTCAAGGGTACCGTCTTCTTTAAGTATTCCACAGTGGCCATGTGACGTGTATTCGCAGAGACAGACATCCGTCACGATGTAAAGATGAGGAAAGCGAGATCGAAGGAGGCGGATTGCTTGAATGACCGGACCAGTAGGGTCGTCTGCAGCTGTCCCCAGTGCATCCTTGGCAGAGGGATGCAAAGGAACTCCAAATAAGATCACCGAACGTAGACCCTTTCGAACAAGCGGTTTCAGAAAAGGAACTAGGCGATTCAAGCCTCGTCGATGTTGATTAGGTAAAGACGGAATCGGCGCCTCTTCGTCCGGGTTGTCCGTAATAAATAGCGGGTAAATGAGCATTTCCTATTCAAAGTCAGGGTTGATAAGGATACAAGCAGAAGGGGCAGAAAAAGAAAAAAGTTGGTTATATAAAACAGTTCATACCTTTGTCAATTGCCTCTCAGCCTGCCATGATCTACTTAATGGATGACTGTAGCCAGCATGCAATTGACTGGAGATATCACCCGATATACTGACACTGGTGGCAGTGGTGCTTGTATATGATCGAGCAGTAGCTTGAGACCGAGCATGGGAAACTTGAGAGCTCCGGTCATCAGGATGAGCGTCTCTGAATGCAATGTCAGAGACCAAATTGGAAAATGACATGGTTAAGTTCAGCGCTTCGGTCTTCACGTTAACCAGATCTCTTAGGGTCGAGGGTTTCAGAGCAGTCAGATAATTGAGGAGAACTGAGAGTACAATCGATATACGGTTCCGGGTCTCTGAAGCCGTGAGCGAGCAAGTTATTGATATTGCAAATGGAGATGTTTGATTTGAGAAAGTAGCGGCAAGGTTATATTCGTTAATTGGTCGAATGGTAGGAATTACTAATTCTACATGTGCGGAGGAGTATGAGAGACTTGGCATGAGCAGTACTTCCGGGACCTTTTTTTTTTTTTTTTTTTTTTGTTCCTCCCCTTGTTGTGTCGAGAAAAGCCTTACTTTATGCAAGATTCAATATGATTTTACAAAGGGGACAAGATCGCGCGCGGGTTTTCACTGGAATGAAATCCGGAACATCGGGCGTTACTTCGTAGAACCAAGTGCAAGAAAAGGATTGGAAAAGAATAGTCAAATTCCACCCAAGTTTGCTCAAATCTCAAGGCGTGGGGGAACACGCAAGCTCAATGCTTTTTGGTACACCTCGAAACTACTCATAAATGAATTAGAGCTGGACATCATTATTTAATAGCCTGACTTCCTCGCCCGGCTTGAAGGCGGGGAGGCCGATATAAGGACACCCTTCACAGCGAAATGCGTCTCCTAGTGCACAGCTTCCACAGCTTCCCAATTTACCCTGCACAGTGAAGTCGACCTCGGCTAAATCATCCCCGTCCAATTTCATGGAGTCTAGTGCCTTGTCAGCATTGGCCCTCTTTCCAGCGTCTTCATCTTCAATTTTCCGTGCGAGGCCGCATGTACAGTCTTTGCAGGCTCGCCGACGTTTCCCGGCCTTGGGACGACATTCGGGTGCTAAAGATATTTGAAAGTTGGGTTAGCAATGTAAATGAAAATCCCAGGGATTGGTCTTAGCAACCTATAGGGAAATACTTACGCTGCACGATTGGACGGCCAAGATCATCATCACCAAGCAGAGTGTCTTCATCAATAAACTCGTCGTCTGAGCACGCATTGTTATCTTGAACAGATTCCGGGTTCAAATCATCACCAAAATCAATAAAGCCAACGCCAGCGGGTTGGTCGGGCTTGTTTCCCTCAATTGTAGTTTCATTTTTTGACTGTTGAGTGGCCTTGAAACCATTTGTCAATTTTCCGCGGTCTTTTTTCTTCCTTCCAAGTTGCAGCGGTATAGCCTGCTGTTGTCCGGAACTCGGCTTCTGAAAACCCCTCTCACTGTCGCTTACCAACCCAGCCAATATTGCTTCGGATTGGTAAAGACTGTCAAACGATCCATGCGTTCCCCCTTGGCTGCGTAGATACCCTCCTGGTTTTAGTGATTGAACAATCTTTGCAAATAGTTCGCGTCCAAGAATCTTTAGGCTTTCGGTGAATGTGTCGTCGGAATCAGCCAAGATAATGATACTATCGTAAGTCAAATCCGGTAAAGACACAAGGCCAAGTGCGAGGCGATCGAGCATTTGCAAATCGGTCGCATTTCGGCCACAAGAAAGAAGGGCTGCGTTGAGCTTATCTGGCTGTGAAGATAATGACGGCGGAGAAAGTAGGAGAGTTTTCCCTGGTGTGTACTGGCCAAATGGAAAATCGGGCGTGTTGTCAAGGGCAATGGACGGCGCCATTGTAACTAGACAGCCCAAAGATGAAAACGTATGCGAGTATACTCGTTGGTCCAAACGGGGTTTTCTGTTGGTCTAAAATCCGGGGGGAAATGCTCTTCGACGTTGATATGAAAAAAAAAGAAAGAAAGAAAAAGAAAAAGGAAGGAAATACTAGTATGTGCTATCACAAGACTTGTGGCAAAAGACTATCAGTAATACAGTGGGGAAGTGGGGCAGTCCAATTTTCGGGCATGGTGATTGATAAGCAGCAATATCAATTGAGTCATACTACATTACTGCGCCCGCCCACGTACAAGCTTGCCGCTCGCGGCGTTTAGTCAAATTGGGTCCGGCTAAGGCCACAGGATCGCTTAGACTTGTACTCCGTAGGCATAAATCAATGATTCAATAATCAATCAACTGGACAATTGGAACTGTATGCGTAGGAAGCTATATGCCGGTAAATCAAGCAACTGAGGGTGAAAGGCCTAAGTAGTGGAATATCGATCAATTGAAAATTGCAGAATCGCGAGCGCCACCCCAGAACCATGCAAGAAGGAAAAGAAAAGAAAAGAAGTAGGAAGGGGGGCCTCCGCTGTCTCAATTTTTTGAGGTTCTTTAAATTGATGCTCCTATCAGTATTAAATCATACATACCAGCAAATATGAATGTTTAAAGCAAAAATACTGTCACAACTGACCCTTTAACCAATTGGCATTTACCAAAGTACTCTTCTTGAATATTGCATTTGTATTGGTGCATCCTGTAGGAGTATGTCGTATGTTACCGTTGATAGACTTGGTTCAGGGCATCAATAACATATGCTTAGCACGATTTATTAACCCAGGGTCAATTAACATTGATCGTGGCCATTGGCCCATTATGCAACCAGGAGACATGGGTATCAGGGCTAAATATATTGGTGACACTCAAGCACGTTGTGAAACCTCGCAATATGGATTAGGGCCCTGGGCCCTGGCATACTTTATAGTGGGAGTCACCTGACTCCCACCCTATATTGAAATTTGAGTATCGGCTTGTGTCTCACTGCTGGGCTTCAATTCAAAGACCAGCAATCAGTCTTTATACATAGATTATATGACGCTTGAATAACATTGCACTCCTTTCTCTCTATCTATCAACTCTGCTATATACACCTAATCCTCATTACACTATTCTACCCCTCTAACCTCCAGTCTCACAATTCTGAGGGCCATAACTGTTGGAACTTCTAATTAAACTGAAGATGGCTTGTGATGTCATTTATTGGCTCAGTGATTGACTGATATTACTAATTAATGATTAAGATAACACCGAAATAACCAAGAATTTAATTAAATATAAATCCTGCAAGAGTGTATAAAAAATCCTAATTCACTATTTAATAACATTTTCTATACAGGGCTTCGGGTGAAATCTCGATTTCGCTTCTGATTGACCAATAACGATGTAAACAGCTTATGTAATTATTTTGATTCTCATTGGCTGTCTGAATCAGCCTCACGTGACCATGGGCGCCGCAGGCATCAAAAGCGCACCGCAACGACTTGGGGCCAAGCCGCCAAGGAATGCGCCACCGTTATATTTTTAGTAAAACTGGTTTGCTAGTCATAGAGGATATAAGGTAGAATTAAATAGTTATTTAACTTGAAAAATACAGAAGCTTATAATACTCTATTTTAAATGTAACGAATCATTTAATGATTCTATTATATATACTAGTACAGTCATTTAGTCTCTAAATATGAATAAGTGTATATATGTAATAAAACGACAAGACAACTTATAATTCCTAAAACTAAACTAGAGTGTAGAAGAGTTTAAACTTAAGATTAAGATAAAAAGTAAGTAAAGGAATAAATTATTTGAATCAACAACTGAAGCAGGAATGTATCAAGAAAAAAAGAGGAAGTAAATATAAGTAAAAAACTGAAAAGATGGAATGCTCCTCCTACATTAAGAGAGATTTATGGTTTTAGATATATCTAATCTAAGAATATAACTATTGCAGGAGGTGCACTGCCAGATATTAACAGCTTATGTATAATGAAATAAGATATATCAGCTGATTTAACTGTGTTTCTACTGGCTGAGGCAAAGGGACTGGATTAATTAATATATAAGGAACTGCTTTGCATATTGCAGAGTAAAAAGCTCTTAAGATTAGATATTAGGACTGCTACAGTCATCACTGATATTCTGATGTTTATAGCAGTGTATATATTCATGGATTTCTGCTCTCTGCTAGACTGCAAGGGATTTAATTGGATTGCCTGGGCAAGTAAGTAATTTCCTTTTTATATCATAATACTATACTAGAAAAACAGCATAGCTGTCTTTAACCTATATTTACTGATACAGGGGCCTGCCTAATTTAACAGTCTCTAATTAAGACTCCCAGTTTATGTTAATCTTTTAGAGTTATACTATAACGTAATCGGACACCGAGCTGCCCGCCGCCGCCGCCGCCGACAAGAATTCTTTCCATTATTCTATACAAATCACTCCACTACTCTAGCTAAAAAATAAAAGCCATACTGAAACGTATTTAATTCATTGAATCTATGGCAATCTAGCCGGGCATTTCAACCTATTATGGCCTTCTTGATTGCAATTGCTGCACCGTATTAACCGCCGCGGCCTTGATGATGGCTCTTGTTGAGTCTTGTATGGCCTCCCTCTCAACCAATTTTTGCCGGCCTTCAGAGCCAGTCAAGCTCCCTCCATCTTGGATAAAGGCTCGTGTCATATTCTTCTTCCCTTCCTGATGCTTATTTGATGTGAAACTGATGAAGTTCTTGTCTTAATAGAACAGCATCTTGCATTGCAACCTCTGTGCTCTTCATAAACTTTTCAAGCATCTGCTCTGCAACAACTGAAGATAGAGACTGGTTTTGGAGGTCTTGAATCTGCTTTTTCTGCTGATTTAACTGGTAAAGATTGGCCGGTGTCATCCCTAAATAGAAGGATTGATTGCTGCTTGGAGAAGATGGTGGTGTTGGTGTCTTCATCTTGATGTAAAGTTTTGAAACTTGAAAGCACCCTCTCTGGTTTGAATGGAATGAGACCAGCAGCTGCAAATCCGCTTAATATATTGGCCTTAGAGAGAATGACTGAGCATGGACTTTGGTGTAGATAGATAGGAAATCCATTTTATCAATGACATGAATGCCATTCTGTGTCATCTCCCTGATTTTCTGGCCATAATAATGTTTGAGCGGCGCAAAACAGCTAACATCTAGAGGCTGAAGTAGATGAGATGAATGAGGAGGCATATATAATGGAATAATCCTCCTTTCCATGCAGAAATGATCAAAATTGGCAGTTGCATGGCTGCTATGACCATCAAGGATTAAAAGCCGATATTTGCCAGCTGTTTGAGAGGCAGTATGCTTTTCAAACATCCCCTGAAGCCATTCAAACCCTAAATCATTATTTGTCCAGCCATTATCACTCAAGCTAATTCTGTATTCCTTGGGAATAGCTGAATATCATTGTGATTGATGCTTTTTCCCAGCCATGATGATTTGCAGAGGTAAAACAGACCCAGAAGCACTTATGCCAACTATCACGGTTATCCACTCCTGATTTCCAGGTTGAATAGATTTGGCATGGCTGCCTCTAGTTTCAGAATCACAGACAACCTTTGCAGTCGATGCCACGCCCATTTGGAAGCCAGTTTCATATCCATATTGTATATATCCTGCTCTGCAATGCCATATCTTAGAATGATCTCTTGAATGCGATTGAACCAGCTCTTTATAAGCTCTGGATCTTCACATTTTGCACGTTGATAGTCATATCGGCATGTATATCTGTATTCAAGCTCAGGATGGCGTTTAATAAACCAGGAGACCCATCTCTTGCTAATAGAGATGTCTTTGGATGACTTGGACCATGAAGATAATAAAAGTTGAGCAAGATGGCGTACATTCAATATTTGAAGTAGTAGGCCACGTTGATCCATATCAAGAATCCATTTGGAAAGGGTCTCTTCTTCAATATTTGATAGTTTTCAACAGTTTGCAGGCATTTCTCTGCGGGAGGCGGTTCCATCAAGGCGGGTCATAAAGGTCCTTTTAGGCACATCAAAGGCTTTATTTAGCACAGGAGGTTTTTGATGTAAATAAGCCTTTGTGGAAGGCTTGAAGAGCTAATTGCATGCGATGTTCTTTTGGTAACTCAGTCATTTTGAATATGTTGATAAAAAGGCTAGAGTATGATTGTTTAGAGGGTGTGCTGCCGCCGACCGGGCAGCTCGGTGTTCGATTACGTTATATTAGATGTATAACTATGCTTCTACTATCCACCAAATTTAAATAAATGATTACATAGAGGTTATTAATCAAATTATGGTGCAGTGCTTGTAACTGTTTGTCAACTACTATTATTAGGATAATTGATCAGATCTACTACTAATAATGACTTTGCTGGAGCTTGCCTGCAATATAAGTTAATAGGATTAAGCCTCTTTCTAATTAATTATGGCTACAAGCCCTAAATGTTATTTAATTGGAAACGCATCGGTGCTACAGAATCCACATGGGCACTTAGAGTTGACCATGGGTGATAATTAGAAGAGATTTAGAAAATAATATAATATAGTCTAACTGAAGCGCAGTGCTGCCAGGCTGCAGCATTGAATTATTACCAAAGACTGATTAACTTTAATATTAGGGATTGTATATAGTTAATGCATAGACCTCTCTCACAGGAGAATATTGGCCATATCTTGAACATGAGACGGTCGGGGGGCTGCTCCACGTTAGTCCATAAAGAGTATCCATTGTAGAAGTGATTCCTCTCCATTTTCAGTCATTCTTTGCCCAATGGCGCGCTTTTCAGACCGTGTAGTTATACCATGAAGTCATCATCAGAGGGTTGTTTCAGGGACCTGAAAATGGCATGCTTCTTGTCGTACAGTCCGAATTTGAGATTCTTTTAGAGCAGATATTGCTAAATGCTAACAGAATCCTTCTCCCCTCTTGCTCATTTGAATTTTGGGACTTGAGAGGCATTCTTGACAGAATAGTAGTGGTTTCCTCTATTTAATTAGTAAAGCTGGTTTTCCAGAGTCCTGATATAATCAATATTAAACTTCAAAAGTGCATGAGCTTATAATATTCTATTTTGAAAGTAATAAATTATTTAATAATTAATTTTACTATATACTATACTGATACAGCTATTCAATTTCTAAATAAATATTAATAATAGGATGGCAGCTTAACTTGCAGTTTTTAAAATCACAGTAATATATAAAAGAGTTTAGATTTAAAATTAAAACGAGAGAGAAGTAAAGAAATAAATCATTTAGATAATGCCCTAGCTAGGGCCTCACAGGCACTACCCCATCATGCCCCCCCCCCATTCTTGACCATCTCAAAGTGAGAGCCTCCCATGTGACCTGTGACAGAGCAAATCCCATGTATATAAACCCCATCAGACACAAATCCCACCCCCTTGGGGGGTGGGTAGAGCATGCATAGTCTTAAACTGGAAAAATGCTCTATAAAATGGAAGACATCATCATCATCAAATCATTTAAATAAAACCATTAGAGATATTTAGAGATATAAGGGTAAATGTATACATCTTGAATATTAAGAGTACTATAAATATATAAGCTGATATAAAAGCTCTATAATACTTATAAAACATTAACTATAGAATATAAAAATATGGTAATAAGAATAAGAAGCATTAATATACATATTTTTTTAATATAAATATTAATAATCATAGGCTGCTAGAGAAATCAATTTTAATTGTAAATATTAATATAATATAATATAATACTAGAAATTTAGAATATATGTGATTAGAGTATAATATTTATTCAGAAATTAAAAAAAGGATCTTAATAATAGCTAAAAGGATAGATTAAACCTCTTTAGAGATAAATTACATAACTTCAGAGGCAACTTTAAATAAGTGATACTAAGAAACTATTAAGATGGCTAAACTAAATCTAGAACATTAATTTAATATTTAGTGTTAACTAAATGCTGTAACTAAAGATTTAAAAAAAGATAGATTAATAAATCAAAGCAGAAACGTACTAAGAAAAAGATAAAGAATAAGAAATAAATAATTATTAGAACTAGCTAAAGGAGTTTATAGCTTCTATATTAGTCTTTTACCCTAATATTAATAGCTGAGAAATTTAGGGATGCACTAAGGCTCTCTGTAGATTATTAGAAGTTAATGATTTGAAAAAATATCTATTCAATCCCTCTAGTGAGTGGATGAGCTGATGGAATGAATTACAGAGAAGTCAAAGATAGTACAGGACTATATTATAGACAATCTTAATAAAATATTTATTAGATCTAGTATTGCATCTTTTTTATCTCTATCTTAGGTCTAAAAGTCTAGAAATGAGGTGTTTTTTTTTAATATTGACTACTAAAAGTTAAATGTAATCATCTAGAAGAATTGATATCCTATCTCTCCTATAGATGAACTTCCATATTATAGATATCATGCTCTAATATGCCATATTTCTGGATGGTCTCTTGAACATGATTAAAACAGCCTTTTATCAACTCAGGATCCTTGCATTTGGCACGTTTATAGTCATATTGGCGGGTATATTTGGATTCAAGCTCAGGATGGCGCTCAACAAATTGGGTAACCCAGTTCTCGCCAAATGTGACTTTCTTGGTGGACTTCAACCGTGCAGATAGGAGTAATTGGGCAAGATGGCAGATATCTGATATCTTGAGAGGTAGGCCGTGCTGGTGCATGTCAAGAATCCATTTAGATAGTCTCTTCCTTAATATCTGACAATTTTCAGCAATTTGCAATGGATCCATTGCGGGAGGTCATTCCATTCAGGCAATGTTGCAGAGTTCTTGGAGGCAAATCAAATGCCTTTGCACAGGTAGTTTTTGATGGAAATTTGCCTTTATTAAAGGCATCAATGGCTAATTCCATCCGGTCTTCCTTATTCATGATGAATATATTGATATGTTGATGAAAAAGGATTGAAAGGTGATGATAATAGTATATGAATTCAGGGGCCGCTAACCGCGCCATTCAGTAGTAGATTATAGGTGTCAACTGTGTATCTAGAAAGAATGAAAATCCAATGACTTATTAAGCATGGTACTACTGGCAAATCCAAAAGATATTATTAGTTAAGAAATATATAACTGTTCAAAGTGCTGAAGAACTAAAAACTCTTAAGATTATACTGCTAAACTGCTTTAATCTCTACTTATTATATAAAATAATCTTAACAGTACATCTCTAGACTACAGTACATCTCTATAGACTTCTGTTTCTTTTTTTCTAATGAGAAGGGATATAATAATACTGCATTAGTGGTAGTAGACTGATTTAGTAAAAGATCTATTAGTATTCTATAAGAAGACTGCTATCTCTAAGAACATTATATATATATATTATTAAGCATTTTTACTGTCATAGAGGATCCTGATAATCATTATCTCAGATTATAAACCCTAATTTATATTAACATTCTAGAATGAACTAAATTGTTAGTCTGACTGAAACTTTCTACTGTATACCCACTACTAGAATAATTAGTGTAATCTATCATCGAGTTCATAATCACTGAATTGCGTGGTCATTGGCGGCTTCCCCTGAACACACCACATACTACTCTTTAATCCTCCTATTTATCATCATATTTATCATGGACAAGGAGGAGCAAATAAAAGTAACTATTGAGGCCTTTAATAAAGGCCAATTTCAATCCAAACTGCATGTGCAAAGGCATTTAATGTCATTCCAAGGACTCTAATGTATCAACTGAATGGAATGGCCTCTTGGCATGAAATGACTGCCAATTGTCAGAAACTGTCAGAACTTGAAGAAGAGACTATCTAGATGGATTCTAGATATGTATCAGCGTGGCCTACCTCTTCAAATATCAAATGTCTGCTATCTTGCCCAATTACTGCTATCTGCATGGCTTAAATCCCCCGAGAAAGCCACCATTGGTGAGCTATGGGTTAATCACTTTATCCGACACCGTCCTGAGCTCAAATCCAAATATACCTACAAATATGACCATTAGGAGTGGCATCAACTGCAAAGGTTGTTTGTTGTCTGTGGCTCTGAAACAAGAGATAGCCATGCCAAATCTATCCAGCCTGGAAATTGTGAGTGGATAACTATAATAATCGCCATAAATGCCTCTGGATC